GACCGATTCAGTAAGTATGCTGTTTTTGTTCCTTTGCCCTCAGAGGCACGTACAGAGTTAGTTACAAAAGTTCTTTGATCATTGGGTCAGTGAACACGGGATTCCACTGTCTATAGTTAGTGATAGAGACACCCGGTTCACTAGTCAGAACTGGCAGGAGTTGATGAGAGTCTATGGCTCAAAGTTGTTGATGTCATCTGGCCGTCATCCAGAGACTAACGGTCAGACTGAACATATGAATAAGATCCTGCAACAAGTTTTGTGTATGTACATTAGACCGGATCAGATCAATTGGGATGAGATGTTGCCCAAGGTAGCCAGTGCCTATAACAATAGCGTGCACTTGTCCACCTGTCGCACTCCCAATGAGTTGCACAAGTCCTTTAAACCACACAGACCGTTTGAGGGACTTAACCAAGACCAGATTCATAGGCTACCGCCCGGTGCTTGGGAGTTTGCGTTACGGCACGAGAAAGAGTTAGCTACCGTGGTAGAGAACCTCAAGAAAGCCCAGCACCGAATGATAGAACAAGCTAATAAGCACCATCGCCCGTCACAGTTTCAAGTAGGCGACCTGGTCTGGGTCAAGTCCAAAGAGTTTGCTCCTGAGGAAAACATCTCGCAGAAGTTACTGCCCGCGTATACAGGACCATGGCCAGTTCTGGAAGTTAAGGGCGGAGAGGATGGGCCGTCCTACATAGTAGAGATTCCAGCACACCTCCACACGTACCCTGTGTTTCATGCCTCAAAGTTGTTCCGTGTGTCACAAGTCAACAGTTTCCATCTAGAAGATCCATGATTCCTCCAGACATGGACAGAAGGTACGACATTGACGGCATTGTAGGTGAAGACGTGTTCAGAACAGGAGGTAGAGGTCGTCCGCAGAAGCAATACAAGGTTCGGTTTGCTTATCAAGAACCAGTGGACGACCGCTGGTTTACTAGAACAGAACTTCTAGAAACAGCTCCCGATGTAGTTAGAGCCTACGAGAGAGATAAGAAAGGTAAAGGTCCTGCCTTGGACTGAGTTATTCTCGGAGGACCTCGAATTTAGGCCGGCGGGAGTGAAACGGTTTTCACCTTTTAGCAGTAGCGAATGCAGATCCCAGGGCTCGATCCCTAGTTCTCACCTTATCTGTGTACAGTATCTGTGTCGACCCCGAGTGTTTGAACTCGTGACCTGTGTTTTGACAGTTGTTTTTGTCTGTCGTAGGTCTGTGTAGTGGTAGGGGTTCGATGTGTAGGTCTGTCGAGTAGGAGTCACAGCCCTGTAGAGGTCGTAGCTGCAGGGATCCTGAAAGGTCAAGGTCGTAGCTGCTACAGTCCTGAGAGGTCAAGGTCGTAGCTGCTACAGTACCCGAAAGGCCAAGTCTACAGACTTCCGGAAGGTCCCGGAAGTGGCCTTTCGAAGTGGGCTCACGTTTAGGCAGAGGCAAGTGGGTAAGTGGTGGAGCCAACCTCAGTACGTTGGCAGTGCAACTGCAGTGAGTCTGCGGTGCAAACCCATGCAGTCAGCAGTACCGGTCCAGTCAGTCCCAGTCTAGTCCAGCAAGTACCATGAGGGACTGTGTGCACCATGGGCCGATGGAAAAGGGCAGACCAGCGAGTTACAGAAGTATAAATCAAGAGGCAGCACGCAGCCATTCATTCATTCCTGCGTAAGCCATGGGGAAGCGCTGCCATAGCGGCTTGTGCGAGGTGGTCTGCAGTGAGCCCGGAGACGAAGTGGGCGAGAAGGAAGCTTAGTCATTGCGATAGGGTAGCAGCGGCCATAGCCGCCATAGCTGTAGATGTGTGCGGGTGTGTGTGAGTGTATAGAGTGTGATGTGTGTGGGATATCCAGGGTGATCCTGTGTGCGAACAGCAGTGTTGAGCAAGTGACGAACAGAGAGTTGTACAGGCGATGTGACGCCATAGCCGTTTGAAGTGAACTTGTATCTGAGCTGCGTTCTTGGTACTATATCTCTGAGTTCTGAGTGGGCGCTTGACGCCAGTTTGCTGCGCAACCTGTTTGCATGCATGTGAAGTGTGAATGAAAGCGAGTCTGATTGCAATTTGCTCAGTTTTCCATTTGTCTCCGGATGATTTCCTGAGCTCATTATATTCAGTACTTGTTTCATACCATGGCTGTGCCGGCAACCGGCCGGTTGGACCGGCCCGGATCCAACCGGGCCGGTTGGACCCCTGGTGGTCCAACCGGAATTCCGGTTGGGTCCAAAACTGGGTCAATTTTTTTTTATTTTTTTTTTTGAAAACATGGTTGGACTGCGCTCACCGAGATCTCCCCGAATCCGCAAAGAAAACTTTGAACAGAGAAGTTTCGTTTGGGGGGTTGGGGGGTTGGGGGGGTTATGGTGAGGGTGTTAGTGGTGGGGTTTCAGCACGGGCTTCAGCAGACATTGACAACAACGTACCTGGCTTTCTGCAAACGTTGACGTTCTGCCCAAGAACTTTGAAGAGGGGGGTGGGGGTGTTAGTGGCAGG